ACTGAGCCACCCAGGCGCCCCAAATTAGAATAAAATATCGAAGACTATAGAATGTACTGTGTCATTTGATGCCTGATAATAAAGAAGCGGAAGGTTTCTTTCTCCCGGAAGACTAATATGCTGCTTTAAAAATGTTAAATTATATATTCATAGATATTTAGAGAAACATCTCTTGGGAAAATATAAATTAAATTCAAGACTACAAACATAGATAAGTAGAATGAATTTGTGTATCGAAATGGAAGATGTGCTTTTAAGGGCAAATGAAATTGAAGGTGAGGCCAGACGTAGGAAGAACAAAGTATATGACATGCAAGAACTCAGAAAGTCTATGCTGATTTCTATATATTGTTTCTAATCCACCACTACAGGAGGCTCAACGGAATCATCTAGAATTCTGTAGTGCAGAAATAGTAGACAAGGATCGGGGACTGAGCAGAAATATAAAGTTTTTTGAAAGGACATGATCTCTTCTTTGAAAAAAAAAAATGTATGTATATATACATACTGATACCTATATATGCATATGTAAATATATATACATTTATAACCACACACTGATACCTATAAATGAAATGTATTTCTTGAGCATCTATTGCTATTGACACCAGGGTACTGTGTCAATAGTTTTAGATGCATTATCATCTCATTTAACACTCATAACGTCTCTCTTAGTACTATTATTGGCTTACTTTAGATAAGGAAATGGGAGCAGACGTAATTTCATCTGTATTGGGTCAGAGAGCAGTGAATGACAGATCCTGGACTCAACCTGGCTAAATCCGAAGCCTGTGTATAGTAAACACATAGTAACCCTATCGTGTTGATCTAAACACATTTAAATGGGTCGCTGCTGCTTTTCCATAATTAATGTGCCATGATAGCAGCCAGAGAATAATCTGTTGTTTTTTAGGAGTTATTTCTTTTGTTACTACCTTAACTCTAAAAGTAAATAGCTAAATTCCCCCCCACCTCTTTTTTTAGATTAAAACCTTGAAAGATCTTCAGTGAAGTGTTGAATAAATTATGGTATCTCCATATTCTAAAAATGGTGAAACATTACAATAAATGAGTTCTATCCTTATGAATTACCCTAGAAGAATGCCCATCACACACTCTTAAGTGAAAACAGCAACATGCAGAGGCATGTGATCCCTGTTTGTTGTGGGAATGCACACAGAAGTAGGGAAAGGTGGAGTCCATACTCTTAACAATGGTTACCTAGTTGTGTGGGGAATTTATTTTTAATTTCATCTTTATAGCATGATTTATTTTAATAAGCATGGGTTACTTTTGTAATTAATAATGAATATAAAGTAATTTTTTTCAAAACTATTTGTTTCTAAATATAATCTTCCTAAAAGTTTGAGTAGCTTCTTCAGATGATCTTCTTTCTTAACCTTTTCCTCCTTCAACCAAAGTACCAGATTTTTAATTTGTTTTACACATTGAAATTCCAGTCAAGCTTACCACTGAATTAAAGACTCCCTAGCAGAAATAAATTTGAAAACATCGGTCCCCCATCTAATTCAATGGCAACTACTGAATATGGGGCATTGTCTGTCTATATGTACGCTATTGAGATTACTAATTACTAATATATTATTACTAGTGAGAAATTCCAGCCTACTCTTTATATTATATCAAAAGCCATACAAATACAATTTGAAGACTAAATATGAACTAAGCTTGATTTATTTAACTTGAATGAGCATTCAATGGATGGCACAGAAAGAATACCAATCTGCATTCCAGGGCTTTGGTAATGCAACCACCAGATTACTTAGAGTACATTCATTTGGTGTTCAGACACCTTGAAAGGAAAATTCTAGGCAAAATGATTTAAAACACTATTCTATAGCTTTAAAGGGCTTTAGAATAGTTAAAGATTGACAGAACTAGAAAGGATGTCTTAACCAAGCCTGAACTATCTTTCAGTTAGGAAGTACATCCTGAATGAGTGCACAAGCCTTCCCTTCCAGTCTATTTCAAAATAACCAGGAGACAGCTTAGCTTAGTCTTGTGATTACACCCCAACACCAATCCCACAAAGGTGGAAGAAGCATTATCATCTGTACTCCAGCTGCAACATTACATTAACCAACTGCATGCATTCCACCAATCCAAATCAGGGCTGAATATACAACCATCCCGTGGCTGCCATAATTCGTAGTAAATTAAATGAAATTCAACAAACATTAACTGAACAGTCACTAGAGTTCCATGTACCCCATGCATTTTGCAAAGCCCATCAAGATGGGTAGAGCACAAGCTTTGCTATCTTGGGACATAACAATTCAATTAGGAAGATATAGGCCAGAATAACTCTGATATAAAGCGCAATATGATAATGACTTTATGTAACACCAAGAACAATATAAAGTTTAGCAGGTGCAGGGTAGGGACTGCTGGAGCTTAGCTTTAGTTCGAGCAGTGAGAAGGCTTCTGGGGACAGGCAGCGTTTTAGCTGAGGCTTGATGGTGGAAGATAATCGGCTGTATAGTCCTAGGACATGGGAATGAGGCAAGGATGCGCTGGGAAAACAGTACTAGCTAAAGGATAGGAAGAGTGGAATATGCTTCCATTACAAAAAAGTGAAAAAAGATGATGAAGAAAGGGAGGATGGCCCCAGATCAAGATTAAAAGATACGCTTTAAATCACCCAAAGTTTCGCTCAGGAGTAAGAAACAGAAGGGAGATGCTTCTGATGGAATGCTCCTCCTTCCATGATTACAAGTATACGGCCTTATTTTTTATTTAATGAAAATAAAATAGGATTTTTTAAGATCTGTAATTTGAAGGAGACATTTTATTACGTTAGATTATGTGGTCAGTTTTTGAGGGGAGGAGTGGTGCACGGATTTTTAAGTGAAATCAAGGAAAATGACGATGGTTGAGCTGCCTGGTTGGGGAACTTGGGAGCCAGCCTAACAGTAATACTGTCCTGGGACAGAAGTGAAACCTGGGAAGGGGGTACAAAAGGGAGAGGCCCAGAAGGGCACTGCTGGATGACCTCAACACCAACTAGAGCGGTTCAGTATCTTCATTTCTCCTCCATCTCTCAGTGCTGAGAATTTATTGCTCCAAATGCAAGATTAACATATTAACGAATACATTTCCTTTGAGCAAATTGAAGCATCCAAATATACCTCTGTTCTTGTCAGGGGAATCTCTCTAGCTCTTAGCTCATTTGCAGAATGGATGTAACACACAAACCTAAAGGTTCAGTGCCTCTTTCTATAAATCTGTCTCCTGGCTCAGCTATGAGCTCTGTCCATTCCTCTAGAGAATCCCATGAGAATCATCAAGAGAGTCATCACTGATTGACAAAGTATGAGCCGAGGTGCTTTTAAAACCTACCATTCTAACGCCGTTTTCAAAGGCCTGTCGGGTGAGTGGAGCCGGTCCATCCACGGTCTTGCCATCATCATCGGGGCCCCAGCTTGCACTGTAGATATGCACGTGCTGAGGATTGAAGCTAACCGATTTCGCTTCAACCATGTCCGTGACATCTCCATCCAGCATCCGAACCCCTTCCAGACAGAAGGGAATTAGCTTGAATAGAGGCTTCACTATATAACACCCAAACAGCCCAAGACATATTTCCAATTACAGTGATTTGGGGGCAAAGAATCAACTTTTTAATCAACACTTAAGTGAACATCTTCTCCCCACCCCCCATGCAGACTCTTCCAAAGCTTTCCTGGAGAGAAAGTAAATTACATCATACGAGAGAGAGCAAAACTTCTTTAAAATCTTTTTTATCCATTATTCTCTTTTTTAAAGTTTCCGCAATCTCTCCCTTCTCTTTCTCCCTGTATTCAGAGAGTACTTGACAGAGAGAGCCTCAAGCAATCCATCTTCCCTAAACTTCCCTTCATTAGGTAACTTGTGTTCATAATTGGTATTGAGCATTCTGACCTTAGCGGGCTCACAAAATTTGGAAAGCCGCCAAGTTAGGTTGGTCTAATTTCCTCCGTATTTAATATTATCTCCTAATCTGTAAGACTGATGTGAACTTAATACATTATTTCTTTGCCAAGTTATTTATAAGTCAAATAATAAATGAGAATGCTCTCTTTGCACGTCACACATCAAATCAGTCTCCAAGGGTTTTAACAATGTTCAGTCATTAATCTTCATTTAAGCATATTCCCGCCAGACAGACAGGAATTTATTATTAACCTTAATAGGAAAAAAATTGACACAGAGACCCCAAAATAAATTACGTGTCAAATGTCAGGCTTTCTTTCCTTTTATTTTGGAGACTCAGAACAACAATAATACATCTAATTGTGAAGTAACCCTATCTCTCCTTCAGCTTAAGCTGAATAGCATCACTGAGATGCTGTATTATTTTACAATTATATCTTTACGGCCCATATTTACTCCTTAGAAAAACCTTGCTCTCTAGCGGGATTTCAAGTTTTTATGGCTACCAGCCCATGGGGCTTAAATAATAAAACCACTAATCAGGCAGCTTTGATACTATGCGGTTTGAGGTGGGGCTTTTGGTAGAAAATCAACATACTCTTGAAAAAAAACTATACCTTCTTTGTGCTTTGAAAGAATGTTTAACTTTTAATTCTAAAATTTACAAACATAAAAGATAGAAGAAATGACAATGAGCATTGAGACAGACAAAACTTAACTGGTAACATTCTGCCATATTTCCAGCAGAAGCTTTTTAAACTACGTGACAGATAGGTCACTATACCCTTTAATATTTATTTCCAAAAGAACAGTGGAAATCAACACTCAGGACACACTGAATTTCCTCAAAGTGCCCCTAAAGACACTGCACTTGATTATTATATCTCTTGACTGTCTTTTCCTCCAGACCTTTGGATTTTTAAAGGAGATGTATAGAACAGCTGATGTGGATCACAAGGGTTATAAATAAGTTACTTTAAAAATTATCAGATGGAAACTGTACTTAGAAGGCTTTTCAGCACTTTGTTTTGTGGGGGTAGAATGCCCAGCCTGATGCTCTTTGTATATACTGGGTCCTAAGCAGCCATTGGTTTGCTTTAATTTCACATGAATATTCAAAATTCACCTGCATGGTTTTTACTGAAAACAAGATGAACTTCATATGCCTCCATTTTCATTTCTTGCTATTTCAAAGCAGAAAATGGAACTACAGTTGACCCTTGAACAACTCAGAGTTAGATGCACTAACCCTCCCCACCACCACCACCACGAAGTCAAAAATCCACGTACAACTTTGACCTCCCAAACACGTAACTACTAATAGCCTACTATTGCTTGGAAGCCTTACCAATAACATAAGAAGTTGATGAACACATATTTTGTATGATATATGTATTACAGATTATATTCTTACCATAAAGTAAGTTAGAAAAAAGAAAAGGTTATTAAGAAAATCTTACGGAGGAGATAGTCCATTTACAGTACTGTACTGTACGTACTGAAAAAAATATGTATATAAGCGGACACACACAGTTCAAACCTGTGTTGTTGAAGGATCAACTGTATTTTACCGGTACAAAGAAATAAACACTGGACTATATAACTGTCTGAAATAACCTAACTGGTAATTCTAAATGCCAACACGTAAGAGTATCTACACAATACCTGAGTGCAGTTTCTAGGTCATGCAACTGATGGAAGTCTAGGAAAAAAAGGCTTGATGAAATCATATCTAGAGGGTAATACTCTTTTTCTGACCAAAAATTAACAAGAATTTTGCTTCCTCAAGTTTAAAGATGAAAGGTTGATTTTTCCTTATCTGACTGCAAGCCTTGATGCTTTGGGTCCGGATGGTTCAGTTTATAATTCAGAATGTTCTTGTTTTGGGGATGAGTGAGACATTGCCATACATTCATTTTCTTACTGAAGTCCTCTTTGGCTAGATCAGCAGCTTATCTGTGAGTTCATTCCTTCAGTCCCTCAAGGTCAGTGAATGCTGGGTTAGCACAGGAGAATGAGGACCCGGACAAGGATGTGTGCTGGTCTATGTGAGGGACTGTGTGTGTCATGTCTAGGACAGCAAGCAGGGCTGATTAGTAGCCACCATAGTCATTGGATTCTCTTGAGACTATCAGGGGTGTCCAGCACCCTTATCATTCTTCAGGGGAAATTTCTGTCTCCTTTCTTTAGCTCCTTCATGAACCTTCCCCTTTGACGCTCAGCAGATGTTGTCAGAGTATAGCTAATTACTGCTTAACAAGCTGCCATACGCTAAGAATTTGGTGTGAAATAAAGGAGAGAGACAGGTCAAAGGCACTGAGCACTGACATTCGAGGTAGTGTCAGGAAACCTTTTCTTAGCACCATTACTATACACCCCAAATATCATGTTACAAGACGTCTACATTTACTCTAGAAAGGACTGTTTTTTAAATTTTAGATCCAATTCTATTTACCACTTGGCAACAATAGTGTAGGGAAAACAAAGATGTCAGTCTAGTTACCAGGAAGTTCATTCATCTGTGACACTATTTAGGGGAACCCCCAGGGACACCTTGGAACCACTAGGATCGATAGCGTGTCTTAGCATGTGTTCGCCCATTTGTGTGTGCCTGGGCACCAGGCGAGAGCTAACGAAGATGAGTACAAAGGGCAAAGAGTTTGCTTCTATTAACGCCCAGATGTTACATTCCCTTGGTTAGGTCCTCGTAGTAGGCGTATGTATAGAGTTTGTGCATGTGTGTAATGTATATACATAATCTGGGATTATTAACAGTAACTCTATCGCTCTATTATGGGTCTACAAAAGGAGATTATACCATTTCCCATTTTAATTTCCATTAAAAAGGAACTTTTGGTAAAACAAGGAAAAAGGAAAAAAATGGATCTTCTGTTTTGATACTAATTTCAGAATGTCTCTCTCCATAGAGATATTATGGGCTGGTATTTAGATTATCAGTTCTTTCCGACCCAGGCAGCCATTGTATAGTTCGGGACAGATGTCAATGACCCCATCTTCATGACTGGACATGTTTTTCATGCCCATTTTAAAGCAAGAAATGTCTGTGCTTGCACCCCTGTAGGGGTACTGCTTCAAAAGCCCTGAACTATATTTAATAACACACACGAAGATGGTCATTTTCGACAACAGTTGAACACTACTCTGCCAACACAGCCCTGTCTCGAGCTCAGAAAGGGTTGTCCATCCACCCAAGTCTGTTTCCCGTACCTCCGATCTTGGCATTGAAAGCAATTCCGACTGTGCAGTGAGAGTTGTTCGCTGCGGCTGCCACTTCTCCAGCACAGCGGGTCCCATGCCTGCAGGGAGAACACACACACTTGCTCAAGTAAGATGCTCCATTCTTCCCAACTCACATCGTCATCGCCTCCAGTCAGACTCCAAAGGGGGGAAGCCTGCATCAAGCTGTGGAGGTTTCTGGAACTTCTACTTAAGGAGCCCTTAGCCTGCCCACTGCAAACTCTTAATTACACTCTGTTTTGGATTCTATGATTGATATATATATATTTTATATCTTGCTTTCCCAACTAGAAAATCTCCTTGAAAGCTAAAATTGAATGGTATGTTTCTTTGCATTCTCTAAATTTCCATTGTCCAATATGGTAACCACCAGCCATCTGTGGCTATTGGGTACTTGAAATGCAGCTCATGTGACTTTATCTCAACTTTAATTTTAATTAAATTTAAGAACTGGTACTCAATTTAGTTATTACAAAAGTTAAGAACGTCAGTATAGGAGAATCTGCTTCTTAAACTGTAACTTAAATAGAGATCAAGTATCTCCAGTGAAATCTGTCATCTAAAATATGATGTGCTGTATATATACACTGGATTTCTAAGATTTTGTGTGAAAGAACAATGTGAAATATTCCACTAATATTTGTTCTATGTAAATGACATGAAATCTTTTATTTAATAAAATATATCAATATTTATTTCACCTGTGTCCACCTTTTTTTTTTTAAAAAAAAGATTTTATTTATTTGACAGAGAGAGGTATATATAGAGAGAGAACACAAGCAGAGGGAGTGGGAGAGGGAGAAGCAGGCTTCCCGCTGAGCAGGGAGCCCGATGCGGGGTTCGATCCCAGGACCCTGAGATCATGACCTGAACCAAAGGCAGACGCCTAACGACTGAGCCACCCAGGAGCCTCTGTTTCCACCTTTTTAAAAATGTGGCTACTAGAAAAGCAAATGCCTATTTCTGAAAAATATTCCTTTTATTTCTCATCACAGTGACTTCATTCCTCAGAAAAATCCTTTACTTGAAAGAACTTCTAAGATCATCCTATGCAAGGCGAGCAAAGAAGTTCCAAGTGCAAAGTACCATCTGTTTAGAAATGTGTTGACCTAACACTGTGTTGAGAAAAATCCTGAGGTCTGGCTGAGCCCAGGGAAAGGAGACTAGGGCTGATGGCTACCATCTGCCCTGGATGCAGAAGAGGACTATGACAACCGCTACAGATGTATTTGTCATTGCTAATGAAGCCCAAGGCTCACCCCCTTGCCCTCATTTTTAGAGATGAGGATGCTTAAGGAGGCTCTGAGATGTAAAGAGATAGGGTGAAGTCAGCCTAACAGTGACTAAGACTTGGGTCCCCCAAGTTCTATGTCATTACTTTTATTTAACAGCATAGACCACGCTCATCATGGGCTATGACTACCATCTATGCAAATGTAAACAAGTTACTACTTACAAAGGATACATACACACGCAAGTTTCTACAACAGAGATAAATCCTGCTCCGTGCACTTAGTAATGTCATGCATATCTTCCTATGTAAGTATTAGCCTGTATGTCATTTAAAAGCTTACTATTACCTCCCGTCACCTTTTAAATGGCATCTTCCCCCACACCCCCACCCCATAATCTCTCTCACAAGTCCTCTATTTCTGGAAATTTACCCAGTTTTTCCACTGAGAGTAACAAGGCTATGAAAAACAATCTTGAGCATTTATATACTTTTATACCTTGAGATAAATTCCTACAAGTGGAATGCCTGGATCAAAGAGCACAGAATATATTGTCAAATTGTTAACGGAAGATTAAAGTAATAAAACTAAACTTCAAAAAACCCCTGCAAGATGGATAAATATTATTATTACAAAACATATTTTTGTGCATGACCAAAAAAAAGACCGTAAGCCAACTCGAATGACAATATGAAGAATGGAGAAAATAGATGAACAGACCCGTGTCTATAAACCCCTATGTATGAGTTTTTCAATCTTTTCATCCTTGCAAATCTGACATGAAAAATGTTATCTCATTGTTGCTTCCCTTTTTATCCCCTCAGATTACATTTGATGTTGTCCATCTTTTCAAATATTTATTAGCTATTTCTATTTCTTGTTTTGTGAATAACATTTTCATGCCTTTTGCCCAAATTTCTTCTTGCTTTTCCATCATACCTATTGCATATACATTTCCACATGTGTTCTTTGGAACACAGCAATCTTATTTATGGCAATTTTAGGTTGTTCTACTCAGTAGTTAATTTTGATGCATTCATAATTATCTTCCCCTTCTGATATTTAGTCATACCACTTTAATCATCAGAAAAATGATCCACTTTTAAAAGAAAAAAAGATTTCTTTTGTAAAATACAAGCTGAACTACTCATTTTACCCCTGAGCCCAGCAAGTATTTACTATGATTCTTCATTAGTCTCTGATTGCGTATTACTTCATGGTGTAAGTTACTTTTTTTCCTCAGATGTCAAATTCCCTTTATGAGTCCATTGTTCTTATACTTCATTGTATCTATTATTAATTAAGGCAAGTGCTACAGGAGCATAAGGATCTGATTTTAATTCTCCAATTGTTATTTGAGTCCATTATGACAAGTTTGTTCATTGTATTGTGGATTTGATAATGTTTTCTGCGGTTCTGTCACTTTTTATTTTATTTAGAATGGAATTATTAAATACTCCTAATGAAACTATTTATGAATATGCAATAAAACTCTGGGATTCCTGTAGTAAAAAAAAAAAATTAAAGATACCAGGCTAATAATTAAATTGTATAACTTTTTCCCCCTTTACTATCAAACATTGTGTTCATATCAGTTGTATCTCTTACAAACATGATTACTTTTTCTGAAGCTAGGCTATCTTTAACTCAAGAATAAGTCCATTTACAGAGACTAGATCCCATTGTAACATGATATATCTATGTTCATTTCTGTATTTTTCTCCCTGTATGAGTATGGTTGTCATACATTCTATCAGCTAATGCTTACTATAGCTATTTGCTCAAGGACACCCAACATCACAAAGTCTAAAAGTCATCAATACTTTTTTCAATTTTTCCCAAATACAGACTAGAATATTTTTAAATGATTTTATTTATTTATCTGTCAGAGAGAGAGAGCACAAACAGGGCGAGAAGCAGGCAGAGGGAGAAGCAGACTCCCAGCTGAGCAAGGAGCCCGATGCAGGGCTCGATCCCAGCACCCTGGGATCATGACCTGAGCCAAAGGCAGATGGTTAACTGACTGAACCACGCAGGCGTCCCAGAGACTAGAATGTTTTAACTGTGATTATTCACCTTTTAATACATGAAATCCCCGTGATTATAGTTATACATTGGATATTTTTGGAAACTATCATTAGTGTCACTATTTTGAATAATCAATGTTTGTTTTGATATAAAAATATTCTTTGCTCTATTTGTTCTTATAGTTCATAACTCCTTCTAGGATCATGGATTTTTTTTCTGAAGAACATTCTAATAAATGTGTCCCTCAGAGAGTCTTTTGGTAGTCTCAGAAAATGGCTTTATTTTACTGTTGTTCTTGAAAAATAATTTCACTGGGAATAGAATTCTAGACGAAGAGCTCTTCAAGGATGCCATTCCACGGTCTTCAAGTTACCATTGTTTCTGGTAAGAAATCTGCCATCTTGGCATTCTAGTTCTCTCTGGACACTTTTCAGATCTTCTCTTTGTCTTTTCTACTCTGCAGGTTCATTAAGATGTTGTATGTTTGGATTTTTAAAAATTCTTTCTTGGAATTCCTAGACCTGTGATCTAATGCTTAAATCCTCATAAGTTTTAGCTCGTACCTTTGAAAGCTACCTTAATCTTTCAATTTCACCTTCAGATTTCCCGTATCCTTCTCTCCCTAGGCTGCTCTCCATGTAATCTGCTCAGTTCTATATTTTACTTATCTTCAGCCACGCCTAACGTGCTCTTAGCCCATTCATTGCATTACTCCTGTCGAGCATTATGTTTTATTTACTTATTTTTTTTTGAAGTTCTTTTTCAAACCCATCTGGTTAATTTGAATAATTTAGAAATACTGTTCAATTATATGTATTGGAACATATTTGATATATATATTTCTTGATATATATGAATTATATGTAATAATTCTCAAACATGTCAATCTAATTCTGCTCTTTTTGCTGCTGGATTGTTTATATTGTGATATTTTCCCCGTGTGGTGGGTGAAATGTCCATTTAGGAGGTCATGTTGTTTGGGCTTTTAACTTTGTGAATTCTTTGAAGCTGGAGTGGACGATGCATCAAGGGTTCTGTTTTATGCAAGTCTTTTCTCACCTCACCGCCATCCCTGTGCTTTTAAAAATCCAGCTCCAGGCTGGCTGGGTTTGACTGATCACTCTGGAAAATTCGTAGTGTCCACTTATTGCCTACCTCATTTATAGACCTGAACTTTCACAGAGAAATACTGTGTCCCATTAGCTCAACCATGCACTAAAAAATTCTTTAATATTTTCCCAAGAGTTTTAGATGTACTACAGTAGGAGAGATTTAATTAAATATCTTTTCTACCATAGTATTTTTAAAATGTAAGAATTAACTTGGCTCTGTATTCCTAAAATGCAATAAAACCCTGCACATATTATGTGCATCATTAATGTACAGTGGATTCTCCTAAGTGATGAAAAGAGGGACTATTTCCTTATAAAAACATTTCTTGCAAAGATTTCTGTATATTGCTGTATATCATGAGCAATGATGAACCATTTTTGGGAAAAAGGGAAGTTATCACTCTGCTGCTGATGCATACATTTTAAATATCACTTAAATAATATACTGTAACATGCTGTAATTGAGGGTCCAAATTGCTAGCTCAACTACATTTAAACAGTCCCCTCTCTTCAGATGACAATGATCATTACTCCGAGTAAAGTACTAGTCATCTTTTTATTTTTGTATCTTAGTTGGATTCAATCCTTTGATGGATTTAAAATAGATCACAGAACAATGGATATCATCATGACCTGTTCAAGTATATGAACAAGATTCAATTTCTTCCTTCTCTTAAAGAACAAGGG